TGTTATACTGATTACTTTATTTAATCTCAAATCTATGGATGTAGGAAATGATGTTTGCAGCAGTCGATAACCCATCTAATGCGGTTGAGTGGGCACTCGCTGAGATGATGAACATGCCAGAGATCATGCAAAAAGCAACAGAGGAACTCGATGCTGTCGTCGGTAAAGATAGACTGGTGCAGGAGTCTGACATTCCTCAGCTAAACTATCTCAAATCGTGCATCCGGGAGGCCTTCCGTTTACACCCATACCATGCTCTTAACGTACCCCATGTCGCCATGGCGGACACAACTATTGCTGGCTACACCATACCCAAGGATAGCCACATACTTTTAAGCCGGCTTGGACTTGGCCGCAATCCCAAGATCTGGACTGAACCACTGGAGTTTCAGCCTGAGAGGCATTTGAACACTGCGAATGTACTTCTCACTGATCCAGGCCTACGTTTCATTTCATTTAGCAGTGGGAGGAGGGGTTGTCCTGGGATTTCACTTGGTACCTCTATGACAATGATGTTGTTCGCAAGGATGTTGCACGGATTTACTTGGACAAAGCTTCCCGGCGTTAAGAGTATCAGTCTCCAAGAACGCAATGCGGGTCTTGCACTAGCTGAGCCCCTTGTTCTGCAAGCTACACCCCGATTGGCTGCACATCTCTACATATGATCCAATTAAATAGATTTAATACACATTTTCTCATTTATGTGTCAATAAAGTGTATCTGGAACTAGTGTATGTTACATGTTTCTGGCGCTACGTTTGGTTCTCTTGTAATGTTATGACATTGCATGTGTGCAGAAACAAAGAAGCAATCGATGGTTGCATCACTAATGTAATGTGTGTACATGTAATATGTGTACTTATCATTATGTAGAACAAAACCTCTGTATTTTCCTTTATGGTGTATCATGCAAATAATCCTTGGAATTGCACAAAAGTTTTATGTTTATGTTGTATACATGCCTGGCTGTACAATTGTGTGCCCAACTTTGACCCCGTCTTACCATTATGTCATTCATGCATTAATATGTTCTGTATTGCCAACTTGTTGTTCTATGAACTAAGTTTTTTTTAATTCTATTAACTAGGGTTTCTTTTGTTGTGAGAAATCTTTTCTTCTGAGATATAAAAGTTGTATCACGATGCATTTTTGTAGAAAGAAACTTATACACAATGATTAACGAGCCGGGCAGGTTCGCCATCACTGAAAAGGCGAAAAATAGGAAAATGCTCATCCTAATCAGGCTCAAGGCCCGGTTCATTTCCCTTTGAAACAACCAAAATTCTGAAGAACTAGACTGCGGCAGATTCTGCTTAATAATCAAGTGAAACACACTACTAGGAAAAACCTTATAGGCAGATGCTTACTAGTAGCGCGGGTTTATACCCCTAGATACTGGTACTTACTAGTAGCGCAGGTTTTTACCCCTCGCTACTACTGATTTGTTAGTAGTAGCGAGGGTTTTTACCCCTCGCTACTACTAAGCGGTCTCTACCGTGCCCCCCGGGACATGCCATAGTAGTAGCGAGGGGTATAAACCCGCGCTACTACTAAGTTGATAGTAGTAACGAGGGTTATAAACCCACGCTGCTACTAATTACATGATTTTTGAAGAGCCTTGAAATCCCCATCTCCTCCCCATTTCCTTCCTCTTCCCCGTCACTCTGCCCCCCTCTCTCTCTCCATAAGCTCTCACATGGACCTCATACGCATGCGCGCCTCCTCCTCCATGGCGCCAAAAGAGGCCGCCGCCTCGTGCCGCCGGCGTCCCGAAGCTCGCCGGTCTTCCCTGCATCTCCATGACACCACGCCGGAGCACCTCACCATTGGTGACCAACCCCGCTGCTACCTCCATCTACTTCTTCTCTCCCTCGTGTTTCTTTTTCTCTCCCCCCTCTGGTTTGACTCACCCCCTCATGTCCTTGCCCGTGCAGGTCGTCGCCCTGGACGACCAGGAGCTCGCTGCCTTGGCTGCGAAGAGGAGCCCCACGCCGCCGCCTTGCTCGGCCATGGATCTGGGCCCTCTACAGCAGCCGGCGCTGGATCTGGTCTGCCGCTGCCCTTCTGCAACTCCGGCGACCCCTGTCTTCGCTGGATCGAACCATTGCTGCCATTGACAGCACGCACGTGATCGAGATTTTTTTTGTTTTTGAAATTAATAGTAGTGGCGCGGGTGGCACCCACGCTACTACTAACAGACGTAGTAGTAGCGCGGGCGCATCCGCGCTACTACTACAAATTAGCTGTAGCGCCGTAGTAGTAGCGCGGGCACCCGCGCTACTACTAGCTATTTAACCCGTGCTACTAATAGGATTTTCCCTAGTAGTGACATGTTGTCCAAAAGAGATGGCTTGGTGCTTGAAAACAATGCAAGAATTCTTATTTTGGAAGTAATTTTCTAGTTTTCATATGTTTAATGAATTGTATTTTGCAAGATAGTGTATTGTCAGGCTAGTGGTTATTGTTGATAATGCTACGAGTAAGTTCTTGTTGTTTGGTTTGTACTGTCAGCTTTTCGTTTATTGCTGCAGGTTCTTCATTTCAATAATTTTGCTTCATTTCATCAGTGCAACAACAAAGACAGAAAGAAAAATTTATTGCTGAATTACACAGGCAAAGTTGCTATAGTAATTATACTTTTCGGCATAAACTGCAAATTAGTCTAAAGAACAGAATCGTCGTTATCCACAGGTGTTTATGGAATAGACTATCTACCTATGGCATAGATCATATCATACATCGTACAAGTTGCATCCATGCAATGAATTCTATATCTAGTATAGGTGGGGATAGCGTTTCCAAGTTTATATTGTACCAATCTGCTCATTTTTCTTTTAGGTAGCATGATATTCATTGCTTTACTAACTAGGGAATTAAAAAAAGTGATTGTTCCAATTGTGTAGCCATGTTAACACCAAATACAAATAGTACATGTCTCCGGAGAATGGGATGGCTTAGACTGGGACTAGTAGCTACTCCCTCCGTTTCTAAATATAGGTCTTTCTAGAGATTTCGACAAGTGACTACATACGAAGTAAAATGAGTGAATCTACATTCTAAAATATGTCTATATACATCCGTATGTGGTAGTTCATTTGAAATCTCTAAAAAGACTTATATTTAGGAACGGAGGGAGTACATTATTTAAGAATAACTCCAACCGAGTTTTGAGCTAGCCAAGCTCGAGTTTTATTTGTTTTACAACTTCTCTTTATTACTTTTATCAACTTTAAAAATATGCAGATACGATGTTTATAAATCATATGCATATATGTATCACAAAATGTACTTTTGAAATATGTAATTTTGTTGATTTGAGAAATATGCTATTATAGAAGTTTGCTGGCTGATATAGTTGATGGTGGATTTATTAATTCCTGTTTATAGCCTGCAGGCATGGAGAATGGCTAGTCATGCACTTTTGCTAGATTTAATTTCCACAATACTCTTTCGGTTCCGATAAAGAAAGTACTCGTGTTTGATACTGACACGGTCTCCTATGTTAAATTACATATCATCATTGCTATCCTGGAGTAGTTTTACATAAAAGGTGCCTTTATTAACTCATAATATGGCATCTAGGAGATACGCAAAAATGAATACACACCAGGTCTCTACATGGTTAAGATGTACGTCAGAGTGATCGACGTCTTCGGGTCTATATCGATGACCTCCTGGTCATTGCTTTTACATGTTCCCTGGTTTAAACAAGTTTGATCCGCTGCGGCAACGAGCTTTGTTCATCACGTGTGGCCGGTGGATGCATGACGAAGAAGACTTTAGTACCCTGAATGGTTGGATGTAATTTTCAATTTTATAGAGTGTTCTTGTAAGGGTTTCTGGTACTTAATATACGTGGCCTTTTTGGAAAAAGATGCACACGGTCAACACCCAGTTCCTGTAGGCTTATTTATTTTTCCATACTTAATTATTGGTTGTATCGGTGATGTTGCTTTACCAAGAAAGCCGGACGAAACCCTAGTAGTTTCTAAAGCACTTATTGCTTCTGGTCGTACGTCGTCAGCAAGTTTGCAAAAAAGCCCCTATGTTTTTTGGTGTTCAACCCGCAGTCCTATTTTAAGTGGATATTCTGAGAAAAAACGTTTCACTTTTTTAAAAAAGACCCTAGGGAGTGTTGCGCCCCTCCCGTCACAAAGCTCTGCCACTCTGGCGCATCTCGCCTGCGCAGCGGCCGCCACCCCCCTTCTCGTCCTCTCCTCGCCGCCGCCGTTTGGGTCCTCCGGGCAAAGCCCCCGCGCGGATCCGGCGACGGCAGGGCCTCTGGCACGCTGGAGCTGCTCGGCTGCGAGCGGGGGCATGGTGAGGTGGGCCAGGGAGACGGTGGCCTCGGCCGCCACAAGGACGAGCACGCGAGCGCGCGCACACGCCGCCCGAGCCCAGGATGGGGCGAGGCGTCGCGGCGGGCGTTGGCGTTCGCGCCGCCGAAGCCCAGGAATGGGGAATGGGGCGATGCGTCGCGGCGGAGGACGATAAGGTGGCCGGCGTGCTCGCTTTGTGCGAGGCGTCGCGGCGGAGGACGATATGGCGGCCGGCGTGACCACCATCGGGTGGGAAGAGGAGGAACGGCCAGCGGCGGGGCGAGGCCAAGCCCCAGCCCAGCCCTTGCCTGGGCGCTCTGAGATCCCCAGCAGCAACAAGAAGCCCAGCGCTAGACCGGCCAGGGACAGTAAGGCTCGCCCAGCGGCGGAAGAGGGGCAGGGGCCACCGGGCCAGGAGATTGAGTTGAGGAACCAGCAGCCGGAGAAGCCGAAGCGGGGGGTGCGGTGGCGGTGCTCGACGGGGTGCGGCGCCTGCTGCAAGCTAGACAAGGGCCCCGAGTTCCTCACCCCCGACAAGGACAAGGCGGACGGGGCTGACCACCTCCAGGTAGGTAAACTCAGTACCAATTAATAGCGGCGGCATTTCTTCTGTATCTATGAACATACGTACTACAAAAAGACTGGTTGTTGTTTGATAGATGCAAAATTTCGGTTAATATGATGGAGCATGCTGAATTGCTGACCATGACCGTAGCTGTACAAGAGCATGATTGGCCCCGATGGATAGTGCACCAACTACGACAAGTCCAACCGAACCTGCAACATCTACGAAGGTACGGTAGTCTTCAGAATGAGTTCTCCTGGTTTTAGTCTTCAGCGCAGCGCACATGTGGAAGTTAACTGACGCTGTTATGGTTGACATTTTTGGGTGTTGTAGACTGGCCATTCTTCTGCCGGGTCGAACCGAAGGTTTTCGAAGAGTTCTTTGGTGTGCCATGCAGCAAATTCGACAGGGAAGCCTGCAGGTTTGCTGGCTCTTACTTTGTTGTTCGTGTATCTACATGTTCAGTTAGTTCTTTGCGATGCTGAGTTGATTTATCTGCTGCCTGTCATTTCCAGTGCTTGTGTGGATAACATCAAGATGGTGTATGGTCAGGACTCTCCTGAGCTTGGAAACCTCAAGCGGGTCATAAGGGAGGAAAGTAGTAAGCAGGAAGCAAGCATGAACCGGGTTAAATTGTTGGATACCACAAATACTGGTACCTGATTGATTATGGAGTGTAGAGTACTCACTCACCGAAGCAGTTGAAAACCGGAACACAAATACTGGTACCTAATTTTCACCTATGAATGAGTCTACATTTAAATGAATCTTTTCTGCTCAGAGTTGGGTTTATTCTTTGTTTACCCGGAGTTTTTTTTTTTGGCACTGCGGTGTCAAATTTTGATGGTAACAGCCTCGTGTCATTCTAAGTTTGGTTCTGAATGATTACATCTTTTGGCCCTTTCTTTTTAACTCTTCGTAGATATATAGTCCACCAAAAGCACATGAACTCACACAAGCATGCAATCTGCTTCATTGTTCCAATGACATTCAACCAATACGTGAACTCTGCCATCCAGCAAAGCAAGTTGTGCACGAAAAGGATGCCCTGATGTGTTCATAATCGTTGGTGAAATTTAGTGTGATAACGGTCGGTCAGGATATCATGGTAAATTTAGCCTTGCCACGAACAACACAGTAACCAGGCTCGTTGCTGAGAACAAGAAAAATGTGCCTACATGTAGAAATAAAAACAAACTCAAGCAAAAACATTTACTGGAAAACTATTGAGTGGTAAGTGGAACCAAAGCTCATGGGAGAAACGAAGCAACATATACTTTTGTAGAAAAAGATATACAATCCTTGGCGATAACTCCTTTCCAAACATATTTTTGCTAATGGGTTATTATTCGGCTATCACACAAGTGGGTAATGGTGGATATTCTACTTTCTTTTCAACTGGCCTACTTATGCAAGGGTTGAACATACTTACCTGCAGAGTTCCACTCCATAAGGAAGCTGAATGAATACGATATCACGAATAAACCAATCCAACTAACCAGGGTTACCAAGCTTCCTGCTATTCCTTTCATGTCGATTGAGAATATCTTTGCCAATAAACAATGAGATGTCGTCAGTTACGAACGTGGGTTCCTTGATTACCAGGAACACGAGCATCATCCCTAATTAACTTCATGGTGATATATCATACCTGGACATGATAACCCAAGGAACAGGTCCCATTCAAATTGAGTATGCCCCATAGTATGCCTATTCAGTAAGGAGTCAGAATTTACATTTCTGGAGTTCAAACATGTTGTGCCAGCAAAAAAAGACGTCTAGGTGGTGATGTACTATGTACACTATTTTTCATTTCTACATTGGGATCACACAAAATTATTGATGTTCCAGCTACGTAATTTCTGTACCAGTATGCCATAAAGAGATAATTTAGAAACGAATTGTGTGTACAATTCTTGTGCCTGTGATCATGAAAAGATAGAAAGCCAATACTCTGTATAGTGATAGGCACCGAACATTCTGAAATGTAAATTCAGGTTACGTTTATTCAACTTTTTTTTATTTGATCTGCTTGATCGGTTGATATTTCACCCTTCAATCATGTTTATTTAATAGAGTCTCACACATGGAAGTTGGTGCTTGTGCAGTCTGGTAATTCATGCCCCATTGCCAAATACTCCGTACTAGCTGGGAACTTTAATAACTGCGGTTACCTCTTATATTTTGCATTCAGGCACTACTATTATCAGATAGTTAAATTTCAAATGTCCGCATTGCCATTGATGCAGTTTGAGAAATACGAACTAGGTGATGAACAAATCAACTTAGTTTTGAAGGAGACCAAAGTTGACGAGAAAAAAGACCAGCTAGAACTTGTAAATACCGTGACAAGTTTCTTCCGGAAATTTCCCAATGGCTTATGTTAGTAACTTACCATCAATAAATGATTTCCAGTTCAGAATTTAAGTTGGACTGCCCGATAGAATAAACAAGTTTACGCTTACCTTAAAGTAGAATGATAGCCCAGTAAGAAAGCAGCCCACAAATGTGCCAGATGAAGACACCTAATTAAAAGAAAAATTATAAAAGAAAAATGAAGCTTTCTTTTTGGTTTAGGTGCATCAGCTCAGTATTGGAGTATCCATACCAGTAGAAGGGTTCTCCTTCCACACCTATCCACGAGAAGGGCCCCGAATAATGTGATTGGTATCTGAAATAATTATAGTTATAGAAATTGATACAGCCGGTAAGCCAGTTCCAGTTATTGACCATAATATCCTATCCTGAACGAGGTGGTCCCAAGTTTACCAGAAAACCCTGAAGTTTAGGGGAAGAACAATTATGGAAAGTTCTTCTTGGCATTAAAATAAAATGGCACAATACCTGCTGATGAAAAGATATAGCTTGTATAGAGGCCTAACACGTTTATTCCTCCCAGTTGCTGAAAGGCCATCAGGCTGACACCCACCTGTGCATCAAATCAAAGCTATATATATGATCATCTCTAAACTAAACCTTTTTATCTGTTTGATGAAAAACGACATGCTACATCATCAGTTCTGAACCTCTTTCAGGATGATGGAAAATAAGATCTCTTGATTTGGAAACGAAGTAGGTTGATGAAATTTCCTTTCGGACAACATGTGAGATCTCATCACGAGAGGGAGAGATAGGGCAGAGGAGTGTTTTTTTCTCCCGTTGCAACGCACGGGCTTTTTTGCTAGTATATATATTATATATTATTATTATTTTTTATTTATATATATAATAAAGTAGCTACGGTTTGTGGTCGTACGTCGTCGCTGGCGATTTGCAAAAAAGTCCCTCGGTTTATAAAAAATCAACCCGCAGTCCCTGTTTTAGTTGGTATCTATATACGTTTAAGTTTTGCAAAAAGAGACCTGCAGTAGTTAGAATTATATCCGCGATCCTTATTTAACTGGTTCAACAGTCATCACGGGCCACAGCCGCCGTTTATCCATTGCTGGCCTCCACCACCGGGCACACGCCGCCGATTGCCGGCACGAGGGCGAGCTAACAGGCGCGCTTGCGATTGGCGAGCCTAGCCCGCAAGTCTTCGCGCTGCTTGGCGAGGCCCTTGGCCTTCTGACACACCTTTGTCGGCCTCGGCGCTGGCCTTGGCGGGCCGAGGCGTGGCGGCGGAGGATGATAAGGCGGTCGGCGTGCTCTCTTGGGTCGAGGTGTCGCGGCGCGCCGGCGGCACGCGAGGGCGGTGTTGCCCGCGCTGGACCAGCTGCTGCAGCTCCCCTGCGTCGTCGCCGTGGGACGCCTGCGTTCTGCTGCTAAAGAGGGGAGCGAGCCAATTTGAGATAATAAATCCTACTAAAGAGGGGAGCCAGCCAATTTGAAGACACTGAAGAAAGTTATGCACGCGGGGACGGCCGGTGCTGGAAATTTGAGGTAATAAATTCTAAAGAGGGGAGAGAGCCAATCTGAAGAGCCCGTCGGCGCTGGGGTGCAGCCGAAGGCAGCGGAGAGCCCGCGGTGCTGGAGTGCGGCCGAAGCCAGTGGAGAGCCCGTTGGTGCTGGGGTGCGGCCGAAGCCACTGGAGAGCCCGTTGGTGTTGGAGTGCGGTCGAAGCCAGCTCTGTAGAGGAGCCCGGTGGTGTAGCCC